GAATTAAACTGTTGAGCCTCTGGGCATCCCATTTAAGATTCAAGAAGTGATTTCATATTCAGAAGTTATCACTGGCGTAATGAATTCCTGAGAAATTCGTGTAACACAACAACTTGCCTGACAATCAGGAATTCCTGTGAGCCACCTAAATTCTCATATGTGGATTACAAAAGTCATGATCCACGTACTGTAATTGTGCAAACCATCATGGTAATAAAGAAAAGATACTAAGCAAGACACCAAGGAAACAAGACACCAAGGAAATAATTTGATTATAGAATATATTCAGAATAGTAACTGAAGGAAACATTCCCTTTTTTTCCTCCTCCTTCCCATTCTTATTCCTAGCAATTACATCATTTCGTATTTTTTCCCAGATTTAGACTAAGCTATCTATTTATTTTTAAGGAGGATGACTGCCTTGAGAAGGGAAGTGAGTGTGTGAATTCCTACCACTGCGAGTGGCTGATATTTCTAAACACTTCTTATCAAGAAGGGTAACTGTGCTTATCAGAACTTTAAGTTAAAGAAAAAACAAAAAACCTCCTGACACTGCAGAACTGAGAGCATGCTCGCTCTCTCGTTTCTTTAGTCCTCAGATATACTTGCTTATGGGTCAATCAGGATATACTCCTAGGAATCCAAGAGAAGTTGGATTCATATTACTAAGGGTTTTATATCTTACTGGTCATAAGAGGGCCTGTGAACTTTTACGGTATACAAGCAGTGTTGAGCTCCCTTCCATGTTTGCACAGGCAGGAACTTCTGCATCAACTGTAATCAGGTATGTTCTGGGAAAGGCATTTAGTCCAAAACTTGAAAATTTAGTGTGGTTAAGATCAGCAAAATTATCCAGTGTGAAATATAAAGTTTAAATATACTGTACATACATTGTTCACAGCTTGTATTTTCCATATGTATTGACTTTTACCCTTACCAGGTAGATACCTTGATTGTCTTAGATAGTACTGTTTTGCTGACGTATTTGATCTTCCAGAATCATTTCTCATCGGAACCTTATTTTCCCCTCCTGGCTGGATACAGCATGAAGCTTTTGGTTCTGGCACACTGAAAAATCAAAATGTTCAAACAATGTGACCAACAACTCCAGCTCAGAATACCACACACTGACCCTAGCCTAAAGAGTACAGTGCTGTTCTGTTACCGTACTTTCATGAGTAGAATTTATTCCCACAAAGTAAAAGCCAAATCTCATACCTTATGAGAGTTTGACCTGGGCCTTTGAGGGAAAAAGCGTACCCAATACTATGGAATAAAAGCAAATGTGGATAACTCTGGCAGAACTTAGTACCAAACATAACCGAAAAAGGAAGTTAGTATATCTGATTTTAGTAAAACACACAGTTTCTTAATAACATGACAAACACCTAAACCATTCAGTGCCTGAAAAAAAATTTTATTCAGTTTGGATATTACTGGTGCTGTATCAACACCACACTCAAAGCTGGTCTGCTATATAGCTCTTTGCATTCTTGCAGAATTTTGGTGACTTAAATATTAGCAGATTTGTCTTAATCAATCTGTAAATCTACTGGAGACTGTTTACTAAAAAAATTGTGATTTTATAATTATAGGACTTACCTAAAAAGACATTCCTTAGTTTTCTTCTCTTTTAACAGTGCAATGCTAGGCTTCTTTGAGCACGACATTCCAAATTCAGTGTCATCCAAGTCATCCCAGCTATCCACAGCCTTTACCAAAGTCTGACCCCATCGCCTTCTGCAGCCTTTAGGACCTACTGCACCATTCTGAGGGCCACTAGCTGCTTGTTTCTATTTTAAATAGAAAAAAAAAGAGGTTCAATTAAATTCTTAAAATTTTATATTTTCTATCTAGTTTACTTCCTGACTACCACTTAAGAACTTTGAGGGAATTTTTCCTGTTGCGTTGTGCCTATTTTGGTCACAGTCTCAGAATGATTTTAAGCACAAAACATAACAATAATGCCAGGAGGTATTTTGAGCGTAGTTCTTTTGGACTGTCATGCTTAAATTGCTCAAATCTACCTGAAGTAGTGAACCTAAGATTCTATTTGCAGACCCAGTTCAGTGCTCAGCCTCTACTACTGGTATCTTGCTGAACTCAAGCCCTCAACAGTGGTAGACGAACTGTCAAGAAGTAGGGCACAGTGGTGCAGAACATTCACGGCAATCATGCTCAGAGTTTAGGAGTGCCAGTTGCTGTGGCCCCAATGTAAATACAGCAAATAAAAAGTTAGTCATGCCTTTCCTTAACATTCTCTTCCAAAGAAGTTACTAGATTTTAAAACTGTCCTTTAATCTGACTATAGTTTGCTTTCAAGTATTTTCTGAATACCTATTATTTTTGTCATACTTTATATTGTGGAAAGCAAAATGAAGATTACAAACAAAAGTTTAATATTCTTACTTTAAAAAATCTTAGTTGTTAAATTCTTAAAAGCTTAGGAATTGGATGAACTTTCGCAGGTATTTTGCTGCTTGAGGCAAATGAAGTTCTCCCTTTCCATTTCTCTATTGTATACTAATAATATTTTTGTGAATTGTTTCTTGAAGGTCAATAAACGATAGCTGTCATAACTACATTATTGCATAAGCATGTCAGTAAAGGCTATTATAAATGAACATACATTGTTACAAGCAATCTATTCTTCTGATTTGCTGTAAAATTTTGGTAGAGTGGCCAGTTATACCCTTAATTAGACCCTAATTATCTATCTGTGTTTCCTCTAACAAAAAGTATGACAATTTTCAAGGGATTGGCTTGTTGAATACAGTAAGAACTTTTAATAAAACCACCTAAGTATTTATTGAACACAACTTACTGGTGATGAGTTTTTATTGATAGTTGGAAAAAATGGTTGTGCCTGTGGCTGCTGCTGTTTTGGTACTTGCTCGTTAGCTATATGTTGAGGCAACTGAATTTGCTGGAGAGGCTGGAGGTTAACCCTTGACAGGGGCTGTGGCTGTGCTTTGTCAGGTACATCAGGTGAAGACAAATGTTCAGGCTTGGCTATAGCTTCCAGTTTAGGTAAAGCTGGCTTTGGCTCTGTTGGCTGAACTGGTTTAATAGGAGCCTGCTTCTCCAGATACTGTCGAGGAGGTCCTAAAACTTGGCCAACTTGAAAGTAAGGGTACTTCAAAGCCTGGAGAAGATGATACAACAAACTAATTTTACTTCAAAAAGTTGACTTTGGTAACCTCATCAAGGATCTAGGCAGGTTTCTGAAGCATTTGAGCAAGCTCTACAGCACAGATGCAAGACAGATGCATAATGAGATCATATGTAAACAGTGTGTACTGATAACTGTCAGTTCTGTATTTTAAACTCTTCCCATCATATAATTTCATAAGATGGATCCACTTGTACATATTACAGCAGTCATGTCCTTTCTTTACCTCCTTTACTTCAAGGTTTTGTGGAGTCTGTGCTTTGACATGCATTTTTCATTGAACACCATTCTATATTCATGCAGTAACAAATTTCAATCTTAAAACAGGTAGTCTCCACTACCTTTACCACATGCTTTATTAAATGTTTCCACTGCTAACCATGTTTTGGCAACTCGATGAACAGCTTTTTTTAATTACAAAGAAACCCAAACAAACGAAGTGTGATGATTGCCATTTAATATTAATGTATGGGTTTTACAATTAGAGCATGTTAAGGAGCAAAGTTTCTCCTTAAGTTTCTTATCACCAGCTTTCCTTGGTTTTGTTTTGCTTTGAAGTACATTCACTGTGCTTACTGTACCTTCATTATGCTCACTGGGAAACTACAGTGTCTGTCTTCAGGCAGATGTGTATTTCATTCTTTTTCTTGGACCTTTTCATTTCCACTGCTAGACGCACAGCATGGACATAGCTTACTAACACAGCTCCTCCTATGTCAAAACAACACACTCTGCTTCTCCTTCTGGGTAGGATCCTACTCTTTGTTAGTTCTCAAAGAGATGGTTTGCCTCAGATGCACTTGAGAATTGCTGCCTTTGTACAAATTTCCATGTATATGCATTATACTCTCCCTTTTGGCTGTGGATTACAGGATTACACAACTGCTGCAGCTGCTTCCTTGACAACTCACTTGGGCAAAAGCTGGCTATTTGCTTCCATAAAGCACCATGCAGTATTCTGCGCAGAGATATATAGCACTGGACTACAGTTAGATCTCAGTGACTATAACAATAGATATGCTTTATAAAGTGGAGAGAAATGGTTGCTTTACTTGGTACCATCTGCTTAACCACTTCTGAATCACTTGCATTACATCCACCTAGGATAACTTGCAATATGTCCTTTTTCTTTCCCAATTGTATTCCCCTTTATACCTTCTAAATAGGATTACATTAGGTCTGAATACTAAAAAACCAACCAAAGAAAGAAGTAGAATGTAACCATCTTTGGTACTTGAAATATGTTTTTTTAAATTAAGTTGGTGGAAAACTGTGACCTTTGTGACCCATTGGTATGTTCTTCACAGAGTTCTTTCCTTACCACTTAGTTCACATCCCATCTCCAAGTAAAAATAATCCTTAGCTCTTCCATGCTGCATTCCATCTGCAGCTTCACAAAAAGGAAAGCTTAATTTTCAACATCCCACTTCGTACAGATACAGGAGGAAAAAGAAGGCGGTAGAAGCAACTTAGAGTTACAATTCAGGAAACTTGCAGCTCAGATTTTTCTCTATCCTGTACAGAGAAAGTTTTAGAATATGCCAATACAGAAGACAACACTGCAGAAATAACTAAAGAGTTTATGATGTCTGCTGAGCCAGGTTTAGAACTTTCTGTCCTCACTACTCAGTCTCATTCCCACTGAAGTGTTCAAAATGAGGAGATGTTTCTCTGGCCATCAGTATTATGACAATCAGTTGGTTTCTATAATACAATTTTTCAACAATGCAAGAAATTTCAGTCTTATACTTAATCATCCAGGTGCTCAGACCTGACTTGCTGTAGGTCTCTTCTTTGGATTCCAGTTCAGCATATCACTCATAAGCTGTATTGCTTCATTGCTTGCATTTGGGATGAGAGTTTTTAGGCTTATAGGGACGCATTGTGGGAAACGGAAATTCATGGCAGAAGCAAGGTGGTATCCTTCTGGCCAGTCACTCTGTTTCAAAGGAAAGAAAAATAAGTACCAAAAAAGAACAAAGACTATATATCTTTGAGGTATTAGATCAAATTTAATTTTCTGCAGCTTGAGTCACGCTTGGTCTGCATAGCTCCTTCCTATATAGTGGAAAACAGGCATTCCTATTTTCCATTACAATTATTACACCAGTGAATGCAGCATCAGTCTCCAATGGCAGTCCTTCTCAAGCTCTCCTGAGGGAAAGGTGGAATCATCACTGTGGATACCACACTTGGACATACACTATCTGAAGGAGAAGAGAGTACAGCAGTACCAGGAGCAGTACCGAACATCTCATCTACCAGAGAAATGAGCTCAAACAGCTGACTTCAACATACCTTCTTCATGGGAATAGTAGAGGTGAGGCCCTTCCACCCAGCATGCCATGGTTGTGTAACCATGATGCTGCCGATACAAATACCACTGATTCCACCATTAAGATAGTCAGTGATTAAATTACAACTATACACTATTGCAACAGAAAAAAGCCATGACCACCAGATGAAAACTTTCTTCCCCCCCCACCCCCGAGTGTTTAACTTTCAAAAAGTAAAACCTGAAGTCCTTCATTGCTTGATAATTGCACTGTTTGAATACAGAACCATAGGATTATCAAAGACCTCAAGAGATTGTATTAGTCCATGCTCTTGTCCCTTCCTGACAGGTGTTAGTCTCAAAAAGCTCCCAGTTTCTGGCACTCCACAACTGCTCTAAACAGTCTATTCCAGAGCTTAATTCTCCTCAAGGTTAGAAAAATGTAGGTTTCTCTTATGACAATAAAAGACCATTGCTGAGTATGCTATCATTCATGGGTACCAAGAAGTAGTATTTCTTTCTTCTCTCTAGAACAGCCTTCTTCATACATTAGAAGGTGTATTTCTTCTCCTTTCTTCCAGTCTTCCTTTGTATAGGGCTAAAGAAACGCAAAAAAAAATGAATTCCTTGGTCTAGGCTTTTTAAGTTTTGTTCTTCTCTGAACTCTGATTTTTCACTCTTGAAAGGCAGAACTTTAAACTGGATATAATATAGCAAGAGGAGCAGAAAGATTAATTCACACGTCAGTGGACTATATTCCTTTCTCTACACACTGGTATGGTATTTATCTTTGTTGCAACAAAATACTGTTGACATACAATGCACTATATAGCTCCTACATCCTATTCTACGGATGTGTTAGCTGGGTAGTTATCCCCAGATATTTATGCAGCTGATTATTCCTGTCAAGTACAGCACTCTACACACTACTAAAGACATTTTTTTAAAGCTATATCTCTAATTTTATAAAGAAACTATGAATTCTAATCTTGTCTTCTAACATACTCGATCCTTCCCAGCCTGCTACCTACCAACTTAAGAAGTAAAATCTATTCCATCAGAAGACCTTTAATACAATCTTAAAACTTCATCAGATGCAGAACCACTCAAGAGTCCAATCTTTCATTTTGAATGCAAAACAGTAAAGCTTACTCTCTGAATACAGCTTTCAAAACAGGTATGCACTTATCATACAGTTTGTTTATATAAATATGCTGATGAGAACGTTATGAGAGTCAGCATCAGAAACCTTACTGAAGACAATGTATGATATTAGTGCTTCTCCTCTATCCACAAAGCTTGTTACACTGCCACAGGAGGAAGTTGGATCGATTCAACAGAATTTGGTCTTAAGATACCATGTTAGCTATTACTCATCTTTTTATGTACAACAGTTTCAGCTCTGTTAACACAGTCTATGGTAATCAAAGAACTTAAATATAATTATAAACCACATTTGGTTAAAGTAAGTCTCAAGACTTCAAGTGACTTCCTATTCCACCTCAGAATAATTTGTTCATTTAAATTAATGGAGATAGACTCTTTCCTCCTCCACTGCATCTCCCTCCTTTATTGGAGTTGGTGACATTCTATCTGCCAGAGGTAGTCATAATCAAACGATTTAGCACGAAGTAGCAAGGACTGCGTGTTGAACTGATGACAATTGTACAAGTGCAAAAATGAAAAATACATTTCAATTATAAAAAATAAATAAAATTTAATTGTTTAAAGTGCCATTGCCAATCTTCAACTAATGAAAATGCATTTCATTAATCTCTCCTTTTCAGATAGTCATCACCTTTTTCATTAAATTGGCACACTACACCATCACTGCCAGGACTTGAATGGTGCAACTTATGGCTTTATTTATAAAATAAAGGGGTTTTTAAATTTATATAAATAAATAAAGGTTTTTATTTATAAATAAATGCTTATTTATAAAATAAATAAAGCAACATTTTATAAAGTAACTTCATTTATAAAATAAAGCAAAATAGTTGCCTGTCTCTATTTAAAAAACCCACACTCACAGAAGTCATTGGTATGGTATTATGGGCTTAAACAAAGGAAGGCAAATTGGAATGAAGATAGTTGCTGGGCATAATTCCTGTAATCCCTTATTACAGGATAATGGAATAAATGAAAATACATGTCTGAGAAAAATACTATTTGTAAAACTATCTGCAAAACTAGACTATTAAAATAACTGCTTATGTTTTTTAGAATGCAGAACAGTACTTCACTTGTAACAAATGCGTAATTTGTTGTGATAATTCCTATCATAATATTTAAGTACCCTTCTTACACAGTGACCTCCCTGAAGAATGCCTTAGCAGTGTCGTAAGGAGATGAAATTCCCAAGTCTGCCCAGGAGATGACAGGGGCACAAAGGAACTAATTACAGCTTCCTGATCATAGAGGGCTGACTTAACAGTGTGTCTAACTCTTAGCGTCTTTAGAAGAGACTACAGTTTTCTCTGAAATACTCAGCTGGTAATACTCCCTGCTTTCCCAAGCAATCAGCTCGCTAGGCAGTGAACGACAGAGTGTAAACAGTCATGATTTGCTTCTGTTAACTACTTATAAGATTAGAGAAAAACCACAGCAGTCAGCTCAGTGCTGCTCTGCTACTATGCTCAGTGAAATTCTCTCTCTGATCTCCCTGCACTTCTGGAACTTGTTTATGCTGTACATTGAAAATGTTCCAGAAGCTAGTATGTTGCTCTTTTTCATAGATATTCTTAATATACATTGAAATGTTCTTCTTACTATCCTAGACTTGTGAGCTGCTGAAGAAACTTAACATCTCTGTTTGAAAACTCAAGTCTTAAAATACTGCTCATATTACACGTCATTTCTGATGCACAACTGTCATAGCAAGCACTGTTTTACACATCATAGTAATTTTCACTTCCACAACATATCATCTATAACTCTCTACCTCTGACCTTTTACTTTCTGCTCTGTCATGAGTTTGCACCTGCTTCTCAGTATGTTCTCTTGGATGTCTTCCCACCACTTTAAGATCTGCATGTTCCTAGCTAAGCTTAATCTATTTCTGGTTTAAGTTTTCTGTTTGTAATTTCTCTATTGATAATAGCTACTTTACTGGACAAGAATTATGCTATATTTTATATCAGTAGAACACTAACGAAATTGTTTTTCTCTCCCACCCTTAGGTTTTCCAGATCTGGAGACTCTGTGTTCAGCGAGTTATTTCACCAAATTCTGTTTGCGCCCATAAAGTACTGATATACATCTGCTATCTCTTACCTTATTCTCAAAAAAATATTCATATTATATGGTCTTTTTTCAGTTTATTCCAAATTTTGAAGGCAAGCTTATTCTTTTCTTCGTATGTCCATTTGCTAAAACAACTTTTTAACTGAAGTAAATATAATTGCACATATTTCTATATGCACTACCCAAACCTTCCTTGTAATTTTAAATAGTATTTAGTCCATCCAGAAAATAATTGAAAATAATTGTTTCCTCTCTAAAACACTGCACATTTTTCCTCCATTACTTTTATTGCTAATAATATTTATGAGAGATCTGTGTTTGAGATCAAATGTTTCCTTTATGCTTTAAAAATAAGAAAAGCATCATTTGTCTTATTTATGGTATCTTCCACAAGCTCCAATTCTGGGTGTCAGCCTAGAAGAATCACACTTTCAGGAAAGGAAAGCAAATTGTGACAAAATGAAATCCTAGGAGACTTCTGATTTTCTTTCCTATATGCATAGCTTTAAATAACTACATTAAACAATTTTATCTGGCTTTGATCAGAGGAGAGCAAGACTACACATAATGGTATGATACACAACAGATGCTAATACAACAAAAGACTAGCATTACATGCCTTAATGGAAGCTTAAAAGAAATACGGTTGAAAAAACCTTAAGTCTGCAGGAAACTTCCCTGAACAATATGTATATTCCAAAAGAGAGATACAGTCAATGTTTTATAATTTTATTTTTTTTTTTAAATACAATTGTGTGAGGTTTTCTAAGTCTTACCTTCTTTGGAGTCCCTAATACTTGGCAAATTTTGAAGATTTCATCTACTTCACTCGTGCCTGGGAAAAGAGGTCTTAGTGTGTATAATTCAGCCATTATGCTGCCAACTGCCCACATATCAATAGGTGAGCTATAGATAGATGATCTTAGCAAAACTTCAGGAGCACGGTACCTATGAGGATGGAAAGAAAGAACAGATAAAAGAAAATGGTAAGAGAAAGGTAATTAGTTAAGATAATGTATTAACTTCTTAATGTACTTACCACCTGGTAGAAACATAATCTGTATAAGGTGGCTGAGATCTTAGTTCTCTAGCCAAACCAAAATCTGCTATTTTCACAAGTTCTGGTCCAATACAGAGAAGGTTTTCAGGCTTCATATCTCTATGAAAAAAACCTATAGAAGACCAGACAGAAAAAAAAAGGTGAATTATTGTGTCATCACTTCTTAAATAACCTCTAATAGAGTAATCCAGTAATCCAAAATTTACTTTAGGATGTTTTGGAAAAATACAGCTTTTTTTTTTTTTTTAAATTCGACATAAAAGAATGATAACCCTCCCCCCAACAAACACACACATTTTCCCTCCAGTGATTATTACACCAAGTGTCCTTAAATTAACAAATCTAAACTGTCATTAACACACTAAGGAAAATGAATTGGCTATTGCAGCAATATCAAGTAACAAACCAATTTGAGAATGAAATCTTTTGCAAAAACTACATCTGTTTTGTCAGTTTTGGGTAATGGAAAATTGAGCATTTGAGACACTGATTTATAAAATTCCTTGAATGATTTTAAACTAGTTTATCATTGTGACAACAATTTGCAGACACACACATATAAAACATATCAAAATTCCACTTGGGAATGCTAATATTAGTAATGGAGGCACATAAAGTTTCTTTAATGCTTGCTGTTGGCTTGAGCACCTACCTATATACCTGGAGAGCAGTTAAGTCGCTAAGCAAATCAATTCTGCTGTTTAATTGGTACACACAATTTGTTATAATATAATCAATTTGATTGAAATTCACTTGCTACAATAAAGCATTCAATTGCCGCATGCAGAAAGTGACAACCACCCTAAGAAATTGGCTGAAATTATTACAGAATCACAGAATCGGTTTGGTTGGAAGAGACCTCTGGGATCATCGAGTGCAATCTTAGCCCGAACACCACCATGTCGAGGAGACCATGGCACTAAGGGCCACGCCCAGTCTTTTCTTATACACCTCCAGGGATGGTGACTCCACCACCTCCCTGGGCAGCCCACTCCAATGCCTAACAACCCCTTCTGTGAAAAAATGCCTCCAAGTTACTAGGCTGAACTTCCCCTGGTGAAGTTTCAGACTATGCCCTCTTGTCCTGTCACTGGTTGCCTGGGAGGAGAGGCTGACCGTCAGCTTGCTGCAATCTCCTTTCACTACAGCGAAATGTAAATGAAATTTTCATACCCATCATTCCCAAACACTTATGGTCAAACCAAAATATTAATATTGTAACTTAGAAATGGCAGTTTTTCTTAAATTCTAATTTTCTCATTTATTTCACGTAGAAATGAGGAAGGAAAAGAAGATGCTGATAATCAGAGAACAGTATATGATCTTGATCAGAAATACATGAAATGGCAATTTCTGGGTATTTGATAATACTGAACAGAACAGAATTATTTGAATTCATCAACAGACCTCGCCAGGGTACATGAAAGCCAGAGATCACTAGGAACATTATTTCTTATTTCATTTTCAGCTAATATTTTATTATCTTTGAAAAGTTTTAAGGATACCAATGTGATGTGAAGGACAAGTACAAAATAAGAGTCGAGCATGAGAGTAAATTATTACTTTTTTAAATGCAAAGGAGCTTAATACCAGTATTTCAGAATGCAGTTTGCAGATAGATATTAAACATGAGCATTAAGTTTTGTAAATGTTGTGAAACTTCTTGTTGTGAGCACATGGCACCTGTCTGTGTAATTTAGACTGTGCTTGTAATTCCTAGAAAAGTCCTCTCTCAAAATATTTAAATCCAGGTTGTATTTGATAAGGAAACTGTTTGAATTTCTTAGTGAAGAAGTTATTTTAGTTTTTTTTTTAGATGTAGGGGATCATATTAGTTATAGTATCTCAAGACAGGAGAAACTGCCATCTGTAAAGTATCAATGCTCCTTAAATAGATCTTTTTGAGGAAACAGAAATGCATAGTATAGAACAGCATACAAGTTTCTTTAGTTTGTTTATTCATTTGGTAACTGAGGTGGAAAAAAGTACTGAACAGTGTATGAACAATATCCAATGCTTTCAAAAAGAAAGAGGAAAATCTGATTATAGGAAAACAAAGTGTAACTTCAGGTATGGTTTAAAAATGCACCATACTTGAAACAGGTATGAATAAATTTTTTTTACAGATAATTAATAGCCTTCGCTAGATATTTTCACTCATGTTATTGCTGTGCATTATCTTATTTTCTAAAAAAGTGCTACAGTTAAACTCTAGTATGAAACCTACCGTGTTTATGGATAAAAGCTAGCCCTTGTAATATCTGATACATCATGTTTCTGATGACTGACTCGGGGAACAACTTGTTTCTGTGAAGAAACAGATTAACAATTTCACATAAGTTAAAAAAATAACGTATTTTCAGAACATACATATTTCTTCACTTCGCACAACACATCATGAACAGATGAAAACAGACCCGTCAAGTCTTGCGCACAGACAGATGCAGCTAGCTCTCATCTCAAAACTCGCTTGCTGCCAGGCCTTGATGTCACTCGCTTCAAGTGCTGCAGGGAGGCTTCTCTGCAGAGAGGGTCATGATCCTATCTTTCTGCAGAAGCCAGTAGTGTGCTTGACCAGATAAACATGGAATGCACAATAATGTAGCAAGGAAGAGACCGCACAGAGCGGCACTGTGGTAGGTGTGTTACTAGTGGTACCCTTAAGGGAACCCTAATTGAGAACAATACTTCTCAGCTGTAGGGTAACATTGTGCTAATATCGCTAGCAGCTATCTTAGGATGCAAACCAAAGACCTTTGCACATTAGGAGATGTAAGTGCGTGACAATGTCTGAAGGAAACATACATTAAAGGCAAAAGAATTCCTCAAAGAAAAACATTATTGAAAAGGCAAGTTCTATTCCAAAGTCCACTGTGCAAGCCTTGCTATGTACTGTTTGTCCAAGATTGCATTATCACATAGTTAGTCCATAGATAGGTCTTTCTTATGACCATGCATGCATGTACATGCAGATGACCATCCCCCCTCTTAAGGCAAATCCATTAGCAAAAGCAGAACAAACAGTGTTTAGCCAATCCTTGATACACTAAAGTGAGGGCTAATAAAGGAGAAGAAAAACAACTTGGAATTTCTTTCATGGCGCTACACACCAAAGACATGCAAACTATTGTGTTAACAACTGAACAAACTCTTATTTCCAAAACCATTACAATATGCAATATTGTAATGCAGAGCAATGCGGAATTGTACCCTCAGACAAGCAGGTGCAGCAACTCCTGTTCACATCAGTGGGGCTGCAGGAAGAGCCAAAACCAGAAATTCCAATGTGTTCTTCAAGACAGCATAAGAATTGTTAAATAAAACATGATAGCACACTATTTCTTCTGCGGAAAAGACATACCTGTCCTTCATTAACTGATAGAGATTTTCCTTCATGTATTCAAATACAAAGTAAAGGTGGTCATTTTCTCGTATGACTTCTTTCAGTTTTATTACATTGGCATGATTTAGCTTCTTCAGAGACTGTAATAGAGCAAAATATGGCTTCAGCTAACTCGACAGTGACTGATTCCTTATCAGAACTAAATTTTTAACATGTAAAAGTTTCTAGCACAGAATTTACAAAACAGGTCCATCTGATAGTCCGTATTTATCTTGTAATCTCTGTTTCAAAGAACAACAAAATAGCATTTTAAATTCATTTCAAAGTAAAAGCAGCAACAATATTAATAGTAGTTTAAACCTTCTATTTCTAGGGATTACATTATAGCTCGGGTGAAGATTAACACAAAAACCTAATTCCCTACAATGAAAGACAGTTCTGAAGCTGTAACAGCTCTTGCTCACAGAACTGAATAAGAAAACCCAGCAATTTTTTTTTTGTTACGAAACATTCATGAATAAGAATTATCTTTCAGGTGTTCTTTTTGGGCATACAGATTATATGCAATCTCCAATAAATTAAACCTAAATTATGGATACCCAACTCCTTTGTTAGGGAGTTTTGTATATACAGGAAATCAGATGCCCAAAATATGGGATGACTTGGGATTTAAGCCCAACCAAAACTCACAGTGCTTTCTACAAATGTCCCAAATACAAGATGTAAGGACTGGATATACACCTAGAAACTTGCCAGTAAAATGAAAGAACAGGATGGTAAAACACAGAAACACACACACAAAATCAATTTCTTTATTTTCTCTCAAAGACAAGAGGCTTGGCTATGAGACATGGCCACTGCTTGAGAATAGTGGGATATTCCACAAAGCAGCAGGAGATCTAGGAATGCCAGCAGCCCATGGTTTTGTGGAATCTGTCACCTCCATTTAAAGAGTTCAGAGTTTGGTCTTATGCTTGGACATTATAAATGCCCTTTTCCTTCATGCAAACCTTATTTTTAAATGTAGTATGTTCACCACTTTACCTTGACTTCTCTCAAATTCATACATTCATCCCATGAATAGAACTTTCTTTTCATTCTGAAATACACATCCGAGATAAAACATTTTCAATGAACAGTACAGGATGCTTTTAGAACAAAAAAATCTAGACATGTTATTTTCCAAGCATAGCATTAGCTGTATTTTGCACTCAATTTAAAACGTTCTAGAATACCAATCAGCAACGTAATTAAAAAAACCTCAACACTTAGAATTGCTAGAAATTTAAGTGTTTGATGATTAATCACTTCAAACATTATTTTTAGAGGAGTAGAGCCAGAGAGACCATGATACTCCAAGGTATCAGGGACACAAAATCCCTTTGTATCATTTGAATTGTGCTCTTAATAATATGGAAAGCGACAGTGACACTGCACATAAAACATGGATATTCCAAACCAGAAAAATCACTTCTTTGTGCCTAAGTTGCATATTCTAGGAAAACAAGAAAATTATATTTTTGAAATCTGCAAAGTATCTTGACTGCTTAACATTATAATTAAGCATGACTTGATCAGTCATTTTTACCAACGTGTTAAAAATGGTTTCATTTTTTTCAAGCAATACTCATACATACATGCAACAGTCTCTAAACTAATTGTTATATATAACAGTGTAATACATTTATTTGTAAGTCTTGCATAGGTACAAACATGGATATTCAGTGTTGCTCAGATCTTGGGACAGGGTTGTGACTGTCATTACTGTGTTTCTGTAAACTTCTAGCACCTAGAGCGAAGAGATTTAAACCCATGGTTTTAACTTAAATATATCTTCAACCAAAACTTCCACCCTCAATTCCCAAACTTAAAAAAAAAAAAAAATCACACAAAAGAATTTCAAATCCTGAAATCATGAGAATGAAAAACAATTCCCACAAAATGTTGCTCCTTTTGCCTACAAATAATGAAAATAATCAACTGCAGATTTTTTTTTAAGTTTAGGTTAATATTATTAACTTAGGTAACAGTACTAGCACTATATGGACAAACCTGAAATTCTCAGAAATTCCTAAAACACAAGTCAGTCAATTATATTACAATTATCTTTCTGCAGTAAATCCATAAATGGAGGAAAAAAAATCTCAGCAACATAAGATTTCTGGTATTTCAACTTATGCTTTACATCCTGCTTGCAATTCTATAGGAATACAAGGGGAATTTCCCCACTCCTCTAGTACAATTTTTGTTGTTTTGTAATAATCTTTTTAGGCAAGTATGACAATGCTGATGATTACGCACAACACAACTTTATTAGATCCAAGGAGATAGTCTTTATTTACCTGACCAGGTTGCTACCTGGTATTTATCATTGCAGCAATATCTGAAACTTAACACAGGGCTGGGAAGGTATTTCAAATCTATCCATTAAGATGGGTATTCTTACAATTCATGTAAATAAAGCCACTCCCTAATTATTCAACTGCACATTCAGTTTTGCTTTTCCTTTGGTGTTAGCCTAACAACATTTTTAGAAGGATGCATGTTCAAACTGAACAAAAGCAGCATGCAATTTTATAAGCCAAGATAAATCAGTAACTTATACAAACTGATGTGTCTCTATCGGTCTGTTAGCTGAAGTCTGATCCATAATCACCTTGTTAAGCATCTTAATTAAAAAAATTAAATTTTGTTATGTTAATTTCCTTAAAAAGGGCTATTTTTTCTATTCTACACAGATGTCAGACAACAATAAAGTTAAAAGTGAAAATCTTTAAGCTTTTGCAAGTACCTTTACTGAATTTAGATGTTACATACCTTTTGATAGCCACAAGTTCTCCTGACTCGTTGCTCTTCCCCATCAACACACTGCCATAGGTGCCATCACCTAGTTGTTTCATGATTGTGTAGCGGTTCATTTTTTTTTTAAGATCCAGACAGTCAAAAGTTTATGGAATTCTAAATATCTTCTGTTTTATTAAAGGATTCTGTGCTCTTTGATTTTATTAGACAAATCTTCCAGATTGTTTTACCTTGGTGTATGTCTTCTCATAATTGAGCAGGATATTCACTAATCTCCTCCAAATTACATCTACTTTGAGATCCAGATATAAAGTTTAAGAGACAGAACATGGTCATTCTCACATAGCTCCTTAAAAAAAAATAATAGAGAAACATGAAATTTTACAGTATTTTAGGAGATGCTCTACTATTTGTATCTAACAATAACAACCCTCAGATCTATACATGTTCTTTAAATGGAACACTTCAATATAACTACTTACTTTAAATCCTTCAAGCCACAGCAGGTGCCTAGTCTAGGATTAGGGTTAGAGTAAGCAGAGACTGTAGAGTTAAGATTACTGTCGTAATTCCCTAGAACCAGAGAAGTGTGTTTAAGGTTGGTGTCCTCTAACAGAACTCCTTATTCTTAATTTGGAGACAGCAGCAGGTTCCTAATCTGTAATGAAGGCAGGGCTGATGTTTGGGAAAACAGACAGAAGAACTCAAATTTTGCACAGGGTGCTATGGTAAACCTAGGGTCTGAATGCTGTGTTTTGGATCGGTAGAGCAAGCAGGCTTGCTATGCTTAAAGTTAGTTAGGAAGGGAGGTGAAGAAGCAAGAAAAACACTGCATTCTTCACCAAGGCAAATCGAGTTGTTTTAAATGTACTTTGATATCTTGCTCTGAAGTTCACAGAATTCTTAGTCTATAGCCACAGTTAGGATTAGAAACAGTAATAGCTGAAGAGTTAAGTTTATGGCTCAGTTTTACAAGGCCTGCAGAGAAAAGTATAGAGCTCATGTGCATTGGTATGGAAGACTAGATCCAAATTGTCTTTTGGAAAAGAATTCACATTAAACAATGCTGAATCTCCACCTCTGAACATATGTAAACCTTAATTTGAATCCTGATCCAAACTTGAATCTGAACCCTAGCTTTCATTATACACAATACTGTCACCAACACTTCAGATGAAGGCCAGTTTCCATAGGTCCTATGCACAAATCTTAATTCTAACCTTAGTACTTGCTGCCTACTAGACACAATCCTAAAAACTGATGTTAGGGCACTTACGCAAACTCACAATAGTCATCCACTTATTTATGCAGGCCTAGGAAAAACTAACAACCAATCACTGTACCACTTACCATAATCCAAATGCTTAAACACAAACTATTGACTGCTAAACAAATTCCAGCATTATCTCTACCTTTTGCATCTGCTGTCTGAAAATGCAAAAAACAAAAGCTCAAATCAACTGGCATGCACTGTCAGCCTACCTCTATAGGAGATGCAGAATTCAGCATGCAGCTCTGTAGTGCTTATCCTTATGCCAGAATTAGCTACAGGCTGGTAAGGCTGTCCAAACAGATTAAGGAACTCCAATTCAGCTGGTAACAAGCCTCAGGCCTGAGATTTACAGGCCTGGCAAAATTCAACAATAAAATCGACCTGTTACAAGTGTGTACGCAGCATTCTCAAGCAGACTAGCCTGCTGCGTAAAGGAAATATCTGTCTGGACAATACACTGATGTCTCTAAACTGTTACTGCTTGAAATGCTGCTTCCTTGGAGAAGTCACAATGCACATCTTGTTACTCCCTGTTGCTTCTGTTACTAGGGAGGAATCTTACATCAGCTGTCAAGATGCTAGTAACAAGTAACCTAGGGGACATCTCAATTTATAATCTTTGCACCAGACAACCACCAGTTTGGCAGTGAAAAATATAAAGTAGTTTTTATCCATCCCCCCCCAAAAGCCATCGCCACAGTAAAATAAGATTGCTGGTTAATAGTGCATTCTATAACAAAGCTAAAAACCAGATTTAACAAAAAGGAACAATCATAGACAATTCAAATTATGACTGGGTTTTAAATAGGACTTTCATATATTTAAGGCTATTGTTTTTCTCAGAATTCAGCTTTACATCTTATTCTCCGAAGTGCCTGTATGCACTCCAGTCTTTAATACTTTGAATAATACTATTTCTTCAACAAGACTATTTGTTGACTCCAGTAAGAAGCAGATGATCAAGTGTTTATGCCAAGATACATACTACATACATATCTTGGAAGTTATCGATTGCTAGTTTTTTATATATATATTAAAAAAACAAACCAAAAACTTTCTGAAAGTATTCTAATACACATTTTAAAACACAGCATCTGCATCTAAAGCATCAGCAATGATAAACTGTATACATTTTGTGTATAGGTATACATAGGCTTATAACATGAAATGAAGTTAAATGTAACAGGATTTGGGTATCTGCATTTCTCTGTTTCAACAAATATCATTGTACGTTGTTTAAGACATGGTTTTCAGAGGGGATTCAGCAATATCTGCTAGAGATGGTCCTAGCCTGAACTCCTAGAGTTATGTACATTAAAAATTTGGAGAACTTGCATGCCTTTCATGCCCAGCTTTTTGCTCTCTAATGAGGTGAACCAAAATACAAAGCTGAAAACATCTATATTTGCAATAAACAAACATCCAGACACAAACCTCAGGTTTTGACCTTTAAGTCCTCTAATATTGGTGCCTAAATCCTACCAGCTTTCCAAGTAATTTTGGGGTTATAAATTAAACACATGCTTTTACAATTATTCCTTTTGTCCTAATCTATTATTTTGGCATATGCACTTGAAACAGCATCACATAAATAATTTATTCTCTCCAGAAGTCCTATGTAATGTAACACATCACAGACACAACTGTGCATTTTCTCTGTTCTGTAGTATATTTTATTGCCTTATTCCTTTTCTGCTGTATACTGTAGTTTTTAGGGCATGAAAACACTTAATCAAGTAAAGTACAAAAATGTCAGCGCATTCCTTCAATAGCCAAATGGAAATGTCAAAATTGCTCTATGGAAATGCACAAAACCAGGTGGGAAAACTATGTACCCTGACAACAGTATCTATGTACCATCATACATACCGCATACATTCACCACTACACTGATACACCCTAGGCCATTCCACTAATGACTCTTATGAAAGACTTGTCTTGGTCACTTAGTTAACAAAAAAGGCAAACGAGGGAACTCTTACAGCGAAACACCATCAACTGAAAACTAACCAAATGCAGTGGAAAAAAGGGACAGCAGGTATCACACTCTAAGCTCTTCTCCAGTTTTTTTGAGAGAATTCATTCCTCATGCAGAAGTATCTAAAAAACTAATATATGTGGACAACTAAAGAGTTAATTTTACATCAATGCTATGGCACACAGTACGCTGTAAGAAATGCTCGAGAGTGACAGAGGTTTGCTGACCAAGAAGTATGGCACTGGATCCTGCAAGACTGTAACCGCCACTGTCCACCGATAGAAGAATAAATGAGACTGCCAAGTACTTGTGTGTATCAGCCTGGTGTGACATCAGCATCAGGGGCTTCTTTTGCTCTTACTGGAATTACAGAGCACGATGAGTTAGAAAATAAATGCTCTAGAGATTCACATTTCACTACAACAGACTTTTGCACGCTTTGTACTTTGCACCATACGTACCCAGCTCAGGTGTGCAATTTTTCCTCTGTGGTCTCTATTTTTTAAAAAGTTGCAGTTCAGTTTTCTCTTCTGTACCAACCGGGGGAAAAGCAAGGGCTCAATCTAGCTTTTCTGTTTCACTCAAGCTTCTAAAGTGGCCTTTCCCATTCTAAAGCTTGTATGATATTATTTCCTTAGTGATATGAAGCTCTAAAATGTAAAATTGTCATACCAAACTCAAAAGAGAAATCCTACTGTAAACAACAGCTTGTTTTATACTCTTAATGACATACAGCCCATAATCTCTTCACACAGGATTAAGGAAGGATTAAAGCAGGGGACAAATAGAGGACAAAATACAATAGCTTGAAATAATCTAGTAATTTGCGTACATTTAGAGAATCTGAACAAGTACTAAATAATTTAACCAAATTTTCACTTTTACTATATTACTGGTGCTTTATTTTAAGCACTAGCAACAACTTTAAAATATTTTAGGTGTCTGAATTACATTTCAGAATGTAATGAATAAGAGCAAATCATCTGCATTTCTGCCGTACAAGTATTATACATTACCAAAAGTTTTACATTTGCATGCTAAACAGGCTACTCTGAAATTAAAATACGAACTAGGATATGACCCAATAAAGTCCTCCCACACAGATAAGCAAAACACAACCCAATTTCACCAACCTGTTTACAGTAACTGCTGAAATCAGCAAACTGTTCATAGAGCATGGTACTACCCTCAATGATCAAAAATGGCAGCATTGCAGTTAAGAATATACACTGATACAAATTTTAATAGTTAAAACAACCACAAACCAACAAACTGTTCCTACTAGAACCTTGTTTCTAGCAACTGTGTATGACTAAAACTGACAGTAATCAGGTTTCATGATGTGGATCCAGTTCTTGAGAATAACTACAAAGCCATTACTCTCATCAAAGACCAGCAGTTATTTAAAAGCATGACTGCTCAGCTGCAAGCAAGAAGTTGACAACATTGACAATAAATATTTGTAGTTTCAAATATATTGCCTTAAATAATTTTTTTTAAAAAGCCTTTTCAAAAGTCTAATATGTTGTTTCACTTATTTGTATCAGGCATTCAGGATGGGGCATATCAAAAAGCAGGGACTCCAGTTTGCTGGAAATATTTTCCCTCGTCTTGTTCCAAATCAGCTTTGGTTTCAAAACAAAATGATCCACACCAACTTTTTCAGGATGTTTCAACAGTGACCTGCCTGGATGCTGCTGCTCCGTGCCAGCAAGCTTACCTCTTCCCACCCCCGTGAAACCTCTTCCTGCAATGCAACGAGCAGCACAGAGTTTCAGGACAGTAATGGTTTCAGTGAGACCTGCTGCTGGGCTTTCAAGCCTCCAGCCTTGGGCAGTGTCCAGAAGAAACACAGACTACTCATCTTTCAACATCTCCACACCACTACAAGTCTCAATAAGTGTCCGTTTCCCTGCCAATTTTAGTTTCACCTGATGACATTCAGTTATCTCCCCAGAGTGTGCATTTACCTTCCTTAATATATGCTCATGGTAGAAAGGGGAGCACAACTCTCCTCTCACTTATTCAGGCTACAAAACTCAAGACCGCCTGGCCTGGAAGTTTCACCCTGGTTCTCATAAATAAAAATTCACCTCCTCTGATGAACAGA